TTCCCCATTGAATTGTCCTGTCCTCTCCTTTTATGCCTTTCAGGGATCAAATGAAGGTTATGGGATCCCAAAATGCCCCTAAATTGGGTTTCTTTCCCCATTGAATTGTCCTGTCCTCTCCTTTTATGCCTTCTCAGGGGTCAATGAAGGGTTATGGGATCCCAAATTGCCCCTAAATTGGGTTTCTTTTCCCATTGAATTGTCCTGTCCTCTCCTTTTATTCCATCTCAGGGGTCAAATGAAGGTTATGGGATCCCAAATTGCCCCTAAATTGGGTTTCCTTCCCCATTGATTTGTCCTGTCCTCTCCTTTTATGCCTTTCAGGGGTCAATGAAGGGTTATGGGATCCCAAAGTGCCCCTAAATTGGGTTTCTTTTCCCATTGAATTCTCCTGTCCTCTCCTTTTATGCCTTTCAGGGGTCAATGAAGGGTTATAGGATCCCAAGATGCCCCTAAATTGGGTTTCTTTCCCCATTGAATTGTCCTGTCCTCACCTTTTATGCCTTCTCAGAGGTTAATGAAGGGTCATGGGATCCCAAAATGCCCCTAAATTGGGTTTCCTTCCCCATTGAATGACCTGTCCTCTTCTTTTATGCCTTTCAGGGATCAAATGAAGGTTATAGGATCCCAAAATGCCCCTAAATTAGGTTTCCTTCCCCATTGAATTGTTCTGTCCTCTCCTTTTATGCCTTTCAGGGGTCAATGAAGGGTTATGGGATCCCAAAATGCCCCTAAACTGGGTTTCTTTCCCCATTGAATTGTCCTGTCCTCTCCTTTTATGCCTTTCAGGGATCAAATGAAGGTTATGGGATCCCAAAATGCCCCCTAAATTGGGTTTCTTTCCCCGTTGAATCACAGCTCCCCTCTCTCACCTTTTCCCTATGGATTCCCTCATTTCTTCCCACTTCTCTACAACTCCTCTTCCTCCTCCTCTTCCCCCCCTCCATTCCCCCCCCTCTTTTTCTCAACGACCCCCATCCTCCCTCTCCTTTTTCCCTATAACTCAACCCCCCCCCCTCACTTTTCTCCCCCCACAGCCCCCGTCTGCCCTCCCCACGCTCACTACGAGCTCTGCGGCGCCGCCTGCCCTCCCACCTGCCGTCCCCACGCCCTCCCCCAGGGCTGCACGTCAGCCCCGTGCACCGAGGGCTGCTTCTGCGACGTCGGCTTCATCCTCAGCGGCTCCGAATGCGTCCCAGCATCCGACTGCGGCTGCGAACACCGCGGCCTCTACTACAAGAAAGGCTCCGAGTTCTACTCTTCGTGCCAGGAGTTCTGCGTTTGCAAAGCCGGAGGGGTGACGGAGTGCAGGCCGGCATCTTGCGGCGCCCACGAGGAGTGCAGGGTGCAGGATGGGGTGCTGGGGTGTCACCCCGCCGGCTACGGGCGCTTGGTGGTCTCAGGAGACCCCCACTACGTGACGTTTGATGGTAGAGCCTTCGACCTGCGAGGTTCCTGCAGCTACGTGCTGGCTAAAGTCTGCAAACCTGAGCGTGGCTTGGCCAACTTCTCCGTGCTGCTGGAGCACGACGGAGGGGGACGGGGCAACGTGGCGCTGGTGAAGAAGGTGACAGTGAGCATCTATGGGCACACGGTCAGCATGGAGCAAGGACGGCGCTGGGAGGCGACGGTGAGTCAGGAGCAACGCTTTGGGGCAAGGTCTGCATGGCATGTGTGCAAAAATCCCCTGCTGCATGCATGTAGGATCTCCCCGTTGCAGCCATGCTTGCAAAAAGTCTCATGGTGCTGCATGCGTGCATGCAAACCTTCTGGATTGCATCCATGCTTGCAAAAAGCACCTCCTTCTTGCATGCATGTGTGCATGCAGAGTCTCTCAGTTGCACCCATGCTTGCAAGAAGTCTCCTGGTGCACATATGTGTGCAAAAATCCCCTGGTGCTTGCAAAAAAACCATCCTCCTGGTGCATGCATATCTGTGCAGAATCTTCCCGTTGCAGCCATGCTGGCAAAAAGTCTCATGGTGCTGCATGAGTGCATGCAAACCTTCTGGATTGCATCCATGCTTACAGAAAACACCTCCTTCTTGCATGCATGTGTGCACGTAGAGTCTCTCATTTGCACCCACG